TCCGACATTAGACACTTTTCAATATGACTTTTTGCCGATCAGGAAAGTCGAATGATTATTCACTTCGATAACGATTAATAACGATGATGAGAACAATCTTTTTGTCGTCCGATTATGAACTGAATTACCTAGAGATCTGTAGAGGGTGAGGCTGTGTGGGGTAAGGGATGAGGGTGAGTGGGGTGAGGGTGAGCAGCTATAAGTGATGCGCTTCGCTCAATTGTTGGAGTCCTTCAAATGCGGTCGCTCAAATGTCAGTTGCTCAAATGTCAGTCGCTCAAACGTCGGTTAGTCGGAATTTGCTGCATTAACTCGTTTTTGGAAATTGCACATCAGTGTTTTGTCGTTCTTGACATTACAAGACTAGCAATTTCTGAGTACTGCTACTGACTGGCAATTAAATGTGGCATAATAATTCCAGTGAGCAAATCGCCATCGTCTGCTGAATCCGAAGGTTCTGCTGATAATGACCGTGATGCGGTGATTGAACTGGCGTATGTTGTCACTGAGGCTGATGCTTCGATGGATGATTTTCATCTATTTCATCTTCATCACATACATAGTGTCGTTTCTTTTCGATCGGTCATGCGAAAGTTGAGGTTGTGGCCTGGCTTTATCTATCAAATCGCCATCAGTTTCTAAATGACGTTGTTGTTCTTGGTCCTTAGATGCAGCGGATTTTTTGTCACTTTTTGACATTATGAGTTCAAATAGACGGAAATCTGTTAAGCAATTTAAAGTTGATCTGTAAAAACAAACAACAGTAAAACACATTAGATGAGGTCGAACAAAGGTATTCAACAACTAGCAGGATCTCAAAAAGTGAGGATGCACATTCTCTGAATAGTTGAAAAAATGGTTGCTGTTGTTCATGCTGTCTCGGACAACTTCCTTTCAATGGATTTGTTTTCCTTCTTTCATGTGAAGAGGCAAGAATTCTTCTGAAAATTCTGGATTTAGGTAAAAGCCATCTAGCGATTCTCTACTGTTGTTTTTGGTGCTATAAAGTTTTTGGTCTTCAAAAAGGATAGAGTTAGTGAAAAAACCGGAGAGCTTACCCAAGCTGAGGTTTTTCTGGGTTGATCATTTTGGTAGTCGGCTAATTAGTCTGTCACAACTCATGGCGATTCAAAAAAATCACAATTAATCGCTATCTTGTATAATAGTCTCGATTAGTTGATAAATTAATGGTTGATAGATGGAAGCTTCTCTCTTCTTACACTCGCGATTTTAATAACACAATGATTAAATGCCCGTCAAGCAGAAAAGGAGCAACCGATCGTTGATCACTTCATCGCAATTTTATAGTATAAAATCGCGTTAATTTTATCAAAAAAACTTTTGGTCACCAAATTTTCCAGCATTCATTTCAAAGTTTTATTTCTTCTTTTATTTTATTTCTCTTTCGAATGGCAAAAACCACGAGTCTTTAGCTCCCGATATTAATGAATAGATTAAAATATTAGACATTTTTCTAGTCAACAAGAGAAAAACAATATAGTTTTTTTCTATTAGTGCGTCCGGTTTTCACCTAAAAGCGCTTTTCAGTACTTTAGAGAACTTAAAATTTTTGTGTTTGCAGTAAATCTTCAGCTGTTTCTTTCAAATGAAAAGCACAGTTCGAGTTTAGATCATATACCCGCTTTTGTCTACTTAACCTGATTCTCTACTAAACGTACTTCAGTGGAGTTCTAGAGAACTTTCCCTAAAGTTGCTTTTACATGGATTAAGAAGATTTAAAACTGAAACATTCAACAATTCTATTATCAGGAGATTTTTGTTCATTTAGAATAGAAGATCTAAACTCGAACTGTGCTTTTCATTTGAAAGAAACAGCTGAAGATTTACTGCAAACACAAAAGATATGAAAAAAGAAGTGAAAAAAGAATGACGACAGTATTTGATGTCTCAAGTGATACACCATTTTGAATTTTAAGTTCTCTAAAGTACTGAAAAGCGCTTTTAGGTGAAAACCGGACGCACTAATAGAAAAAAACTATATTGTTTTTCTCTTGTTGACTAGAAAAATGTCTAATATTTTAATCTATTCATTAATAGAAAGATCAAACCCAATCATATAAAATAATCGGTACGCTTTACACTACATACAGACACAAAACGATATGACTTTCAGAGGCACTCAACTATAACTAAAAAACTCAATTATTTATGTATTTCTAGTAGAAAGTACAGGAGTAAGTTTATTGCCTTTACACATTTACGTTGATGCATTGATAAATGAGTTTATTGGGTTGAGTAAGAGATGCATAAATGTCTATTTTAATTAAAGAGCTCTCCATCTAGTACTGAGTATCGGGAGCTAAAGACTCGCGGTTTTCGCCATTCGAAAGAGAAATAAAATAAAAGAAGAAATAAAAATTTGAAATGAATGCTGGAAAATTTGGTGATCAAAAGTACATTTACTCAATTTTTAGACTTGTTTTTAGAAAAATTTAAAATATTTACCAAAAAGCGAGTTTTACGGAGACTAGAGTTCCAGACTGTTTGCACCTAATATTAAAAAGTTCACCATTCACTCAAAAAACATCAGACTGAGTTCAGAACCTCAGGATATGATTAATGTTGTCCGCTAAACGTGATTATAAGATCGAAAGAATCGAAAAAGCATATTTTTGTTAATAGGTTTTTTCAGAAATCCTTTCAGAAAACCTCAGGATTTTGTAAAATTTCTTTCGCGATCTCGTGAAATTTTGAAAACACTTGCCAATTTTTCCAAGTACTTATCAAGTACTTAGCAAATAATCAAGTACTTGTGTCAAGTACGTTCTCTAGGGTTTGATCACCAAATTTTTCGGCATGTCTCAATTACACACAACGGACCTTTATACAGAGAGAAACGCTGGGCAAGGTCTGACTGCAGTGTTCATTGATTTACAGTGAGTGTCATGAATAAGCATACAACAACAATATTTTACTTCTGTTGGTTGTATTATTGAAACGGAAGCTAGGCAAAATTCTTCAAATTGTCTCAAAGTTAGTATCATGTCATGTAAATTATTAATGCAGCGTCAAAACGATTTTTGATTAAAATAATCCATTTTTGTGGTATTAGGCAAAATACGTACGAGTGCGGTGAAGATCAGACTAACGAAGATCCCCAGAATGGCTAAGAAAGATATAAATGAAGCCATACTTACTAGACAAATAGGATATGTTGAAAAACAGTTTAAATTTTATATAATTATTAAATATAGTGCACAGAAATGAATAAAATAAAGCAATTCGATCGAACGGACAACAGCATTGAATATAGTATGGCGAGTATCGCGAGCTAAAGACTAGCGGTCTTCGCCATTCGAAAGAGAAATAAAATAAAAGAAATAAAACTTTGAAATGAATGCTGGAAAATTTGGTGATCAAAAGTAGATTTAGTCAATTTTTTTATTTGTATAAATAAACAACTGGCTTCCATACTACCGGATCATTGTTTTCTATCCTAGAAATACCGTTACCGAAGTGCCCACAATTTTCTATTGTGCATTTATAGGCCCAACATCTCAAATGCCTATTAAGTTATTAATTGCGTTAGTATTTAGTACATTCGTGCTGAACGCTTATGGATGTAGTCCCGATCCGAATAGTGGAAGTATTGTAATTGCTGCAGGATCATTTCTCAGCGATATCGGCGGTACGAATTGGGATCCAGCTGAATTAAAAGGTCAATTGTTATTTAATAGTGTAACCTGTTTCTATGAGAAACAAGTGGCTCTGCCACCGAACAAGAACTATGACTGGAAAGTGGCATTTAATTCACAATGGGGTGGCGATAAAGGATGTGGTAATGGAGGAAATTGTCAGTTCAATAGTGGTCCAACAGGTGGTATCTTACTCAAATATAATCCCTACAATGCGCAATTATCGACAGAAGTGGCTGTTATACTAACCGATTGTGGTAATGCTGTTTGCGGTGAGGGTGAGACATGTGCAAATTGTGCAGAAGATTGCGGTAAATGTCCGTGTTCAAACCCGCTATCCAGTCGAATTGTCCGAGCAAGTGGTGATTGGCAGACAATATTAGGCAGTGCAGCTAATTGGATTGCTACTGATCCAAACAGTTTGATGAGTGCTGATCCAAACGACTGTCTTTATTCACTCATTTTGACAGGATTAAAACCGAATACGGAGTATCAGTGGAAAGTAGCAATGGACAACGCATGGGGAGAAAATTATGGATGTGGCAAAGACAATTGCAAATTCACATCCAGTACATCCGGTGCAATTAAATTAATATTTAATCCTAATACAAAACAGTTAACAACGGAGTTAGTTACTGCGACATGTGGAGATAATGTTTGTGAAATTGGTGAAACCTGTTCATCATGCAAAGATGAGTAAGTCACCACAATTTCTATTCAAACCTAGCACTCTCTTTATATATTTTAGTTGCGGAGAGTGTCCTCCAAGCGTTTGTGGTGATAAAAAATGTGACTGGGATGAAACATGTTCAACATGTGAAAGTGATTGTGGTGCTTGTCCGTTTTGTGGTGATGGTAAATGTGAGAAAGATGAAACTGCTCAGTCATGTCCTCAAGATTGTCCAAATGAATTGCCTGGTTGCCAAATATTCAATGAAGAAAGCTGTTCAGGTGGTCAACAATTTCACGCAAATCCAAGTGTAGCTGAAAAGCGGTGGCAAACACCAAAACCGGGCGCACAGCGATATCAAACGTCATTTCAAGATTACCATGCACTAGTTGGATATGCTGATATTATTTATAAAACTAAAGATCGTACGTCCGCTGACGTTTGTATTGAAGCTACACACAAGACAGCTTCTGTTACGTTGACATATCATTTTGACGGTGTTGCACAAACGTCCAAGTGTAAAGCATATACAAATGCATATAAAGGAATATTAAAAGTGATTGTCACTGGCAACGACAATACGGTGCTCGAATTACCGGATGTAGATCTTATATGGAATGCAAACCCCATATTAAGTCGGCCTGGAGACTATAGAAACGGTCAAAAAGGTGGTGTAGCAGAAATGTTTGGCTGGCCGCATGACGATGTTAGACAAGAATGCGATTTTCTCGCAAAGGCTGGATATCTTGGTGTTAAATTATTTCCCGTTCATGAACAATTAATGTCTACACAACCGTTTGAAAACGCAATGAATCCTTGGTATTTCATGTAAGTAAAACGTTCTGTTTGAAACCTATAAATAAATTCTTAAGTACAGTTTATAGAATTATGTATTCTTTGTTTTAGGTATCAACCTGTGAGTTACAAATTAGAAGGTAGAGGTGGAACAAGAGAACAATTGCGAGATTTAATTCAAACATGTCGCGCTCTTGGTGTCCGTGTTTACACTGATGCTGTTCTAAATCATTTTACAGGTGCCGGTAACGATATGAATCTACATCGAAATCCTAATGGATGTGTTCCATGGCCAAATAAAACTAGTAGTGCTATTCCTGAACGTCAGTCATCGTTTTATACGCATGCATTTACTTATCAATACAATCCTAATACTGGTAAATCACCGAGTAACGAATTTCCTGGTGCAGCAATTGGTCCCGAAGATTTTCATTGTGATCGAAGCTTGGGTTCTTGGTCTGATTTATTTATAATGAACAATGGATGGCTCGTTGGATTAACTGATATTGATACGTCACGAGAAAACGTTCGAGAACGGCAAGCAGCATACTTGGTTGATATGCTTAGTTTAGGCGCAAGTGGTTTTCGAATTGATGCTGCAAAACATATTTCACCTGAAGATCTGTCTGCTATTTTCAAAAAAGTACAAACAAAAATGGGTGGGCAGCTGCCCGATGATTTCTTCGTTTGGTTAGAAATTCTAACAGGTATATATTTCTTATTTGATAGAATTTGACCTTCATTCTCTTAAAACTTTGGTGTTATTTATACTTGATCATTTATCGTTTAGGAGGCGAAGCTGGCCTTTTGTGGCAAGGGCCGTCATGGTATGGTACGGCGTTTGAAGGCTTATTAATGAAAGATCTCGGATCAAGCTCAGAAGTAAACAAAATAAAGGTATAAATATATACGCCATCGTATGCTGTTCATCTTCACATGTTTGCCCAATTTTTTTTCTCAGATGTGGGATGGTTTATATCCTAAAGAGCCTCACAATAATCCCCTTATATCTCGTACCCGTGTCGTTATTCAAAACGACGATCATGATCAACAAAATCCTGGAAGTAGTAGTCGAGATATGGGTCCGTTTGGTTGTGTCTTGATTAAAAATTGTCCAGCAAGTGCACACCGAAATTATGAAATAAAACTATTTCAAAACCCATACGAAATTAACGATAATGCCAATGATTGGCCAATCCGGTTTATTTTATCCTCATACTATCACACTGATGGTGATTTGGGAATACCCGGTAATTTATTCTAAATTCGACTCTAAACAACGTTTACGAAAATGATGTGCTTTTATTCTGACTATTTAGACGGTAAATCAAAGTGCGATCTGTGCACTATCAGCTGCGAAACATGTCGAAAAAGTGTGGAATATAAACCAGCTTTTGTTGCCAATGCATGTGCCTACGAGGGTACCAGCTATACACACACACATCGAGATATAGCGGTTATTAATGCAATGAGAGCATGGATGAATTTATCGCCAACCAGCGGTAGTGCTCTTGGAATCGGTAATTGTAGTTAACAATCTTTTTATTGAACATACATCTAATTGAAGTGGTCATAGTGATTTTTTTTACAGATGTTGATATTCAGTTATTGTACATTTTTTGACAAGAAGAATATGCTCTTGACTGAAACTGTAGAATCTTACAGAAGATATATTCCCGTTTGTTTGCCGCATACTGGCTGGTACCACAACTATTACAAACTAGCAAAGTAGTGCCAAAAATTCATGAAACTCTCTCTAAGCAGACAATAAAGTTCGTCCGAGAGATGTGGCGAGCTCTCAAAATTCTCGAAAGTTTACATTCAAGGGCTTAAAAGTTTTTTTGGGACCTCGCAGTCTATCAAAAACCTTGAAATTCGAGCCCTCAAAATAAGGTTTCGAGGATCGAAATCGCATTTGTCGAGGTATGGAGTCTGTGACGAGGGCCCATTAAAATCATCTTCGAAATACACCTAGGAAGAGTGACTGGATCTGCAAAGAGATAATCGACCTCGCAGAACATAAAAGTTACAAAAAGAGCACGGCCCTAAATACTGTTTTTATAAAGATACGCTCATATATGATCTAATCTTTAGTTATAGCTGCAACAGTTGTCTAAAATTCGTCTTATCTTTGAAAGATCTTTTGAGCTACCTAAAACCGAAAATATCCGGAGCATCCTACGAATGAAATTGCTTTTCCTATTTTTGTTTTTCCTTATCTGCAGGGGTATAACTTGTCTTTTAAAACAGGGTGGAAGTGGAAATTTATCCAAACGTCTTATGAGTTTGTTGTAAAATTTCACTTTGTAAGATGATGGCTTGATATTTTAGATGATTCCTTATGGTTTCTTCATATCGCACAGTGACAGTTATGATCGCAGTCATAATGCATCGAGTTTTTTGTATCCCTCGCCTCATTTTGGGCTTTTCCGTAAAGATGCTGTGAAATAAAAACTAAAACTCACTAATGATTCATATTTTCAGAACTGATTGGAAACTCAATGGAGCACTCTTTCGTTTTTGTTTCAAGTTTTTAACTATTGCCGCTCACCAGTTTTTCAGAAAATTCGGTTTTTCATTGGACCACATTACGGCCTTCGTTAAATTTCTTCCGATCGAGTTAAAAATTTTCCCAGAGGTACTCAAGGACGTAGCGCAGACGTATAATTTTGAAACTTTATTTTAGATCTCTCTTTACCGAGTTATAGGAAAAATACAGAATACTTTTGGGATCTTGTGGAAACCTCTTAAGTTTCCCGAAAAAGTTTTTAAACTACATAATTAGAGAGAGCAGAAAATTTTGAACAAAATGAGGTATGACTCATAGTTTCTAAGTCATAAATTCGATAACCTAAAAGTTACGTTTTTATGATATGAGCATGGTCTGATGATAATCTGTCGTTTTTCGCGTGCAACAGCTCTTATAGAAACACTTCGCGTTTTGACTGTTAAATGTACGTAACTTCCGAATTGTATCAGGCATTAAACATGAAGTTCTTTTATTGATTGAGAATCGGTTGATCGATAGTGAAAACGGTCAGTCGGTGATTTCAATCATAAAACTGCGATTATCGGACCATGATCGTTTAGTCGAACTGTCACAGCTCGTGACAATTGGAAAAAATCCCGGTTTCATGGTGTAAAATCGCGACTGAGAAGCAGTTGCGATCAATTGATAATCTAGACTGCGACTTCAATCGGGTTTTCGTTGATCCTATCCCTACTCTAGATAAATTGTAGATGTCCGTTAAATCTAGAGTAATCGTATTTAAAATGAACAACTAACTCTGATCTATTTCTCAGTCCCAATAAAACTCGATCTAAATTCAAGGTTCAAGCAAACGGTAAAAATATCGATTGCGGTCAGTCAAGGTTCAATTTTTTTGATAAAATTAACGCGATTTTATACTATAAAATTGCGATGAAGTGATCAATGATCGATTACTCCTTTTCTGCTTGACGGGCATTTAATCATTGTGTTATTAAAATCGCGAGTGGAAGAAGAGAGAAGCTTCCATCTATCAACCATCGATTTATCAACTAATCGAGACTATTATACGAGATAGCGATTAATTGTGATTTTTTTGAATCGCCATGAGTTGTGACAGACTAATTAGCCGGCTACCAAAATGATCAACCCAGAAAAACCTCAGCTTGGGTAAGCTCTCCGGTTTTTTCACTAACTCTATCCTTCTTGAAGATCAAAAACTTTATAGCACCAAAAACAACAGTAGAGTTTATTTCTGTTAATCCTTTACCCCACTTCCACGGGTCACTTGAGTGACCATTTGTAGAAACGCCCCAGAAAATAAATGTAGCATCAAATTCAAAACCTTTCAAGGTGTTATTTGTAGCAAATCCCACAAGCTATCGTGTGATAAAAAAAGCCTTTTTTCCTGATTGATTCATGTCCGAGATATGTTACATACAAAATCGATGGGTTTGAAAAAAGCAGAAAACAGTGAATTTTGTTTTTAGAATCCTTTTACGTAGATACTTTTTCGTGATGTTCATTATAATATATATCAGCTAATATGTTTACAAGTCAGTTAAATGACTTTCAAAAATTTCACGAGAGATAGATAGGAAGGAGATCGTAAAAAATAGCATGGGCATGGGAGTGACCATTGGGGAAATCGGAGAGGGGAATTGAAAAATGATTTTTTTCAAATACATCAGAAAACATATGTTTCTTTTTTGAAAAAGTAAAATTCATCGTGGATTTAACTTCTCTCTGCTTATATCATTGAAATAAGAAAAGTAGATTGCATGTTTGTGAAACTACTAGGCTGTTTGCAAGAGAAAAAATTCGATTTTTCAAGTTGTTCTCTCCTAATGGCCACTGGAATGACCATACTACTATGCACAAAGACGAATGCACCTACTCGATCTGACAATACTATTAGCATATTGGGTAGACCAGTACTCTGTTCTAACACGTTCACTATCCGTCTACAAGAAAACCTAAAACATTACCCATATGTCCATTTTAGATAATAAGTGATAATGTCACTATGAAACTCAAATTGACAGTTTTTCATGTTTTTGGTACAAAAGTTTCTTCGGGAACCTTTTAATTTCCCTGATTATATATGATCATGGGCGTATGACGTACATGAACTCCATGGTCAAAAATTAAATGAATCATATATGATACATAGAGGGTGGATGTATTAATGATTGTTTTATTAATAACTCTTTTGGAATTGCTACGAAGGGGGGAAGGTAAAAGGTTAATAAGCAGAACAGACCATCATACAAAAATAAATATTAAAAAAGAGTCTAACAGCGTTTAACAAGCATTTATAACAGGACTACATAGCCATTCGATAAAAATATCACTGTCTCCGTTGTAGTCTTCTGGTTGATGAAATAGACTAATCAAACTATTCTGTTCTAAACAATCAAAATTAAATGCCAAATTATCATTTAAACTTTGTTCAGCCGTTTGATTTAAAGTCGTATCCGATGGACAACTGTCAAATGTACACTCAAAAAAATCGGGTTGATATGTAATGGGATTATAAAATGGTGTAACACTTAAATCCATTAATATTAAATATTTATTGCATTTTAATTGACATTTTTGTTGTTGTTCACCAGCAATTCGATTTCTGTCGAATATTTGTTCAAAGAATTTTTGAATTTGTTCTTTATTATAAATAAAATTAAGTATACATTTTCCTATTATCTGATTATCATCAGTACTATTATCAACAATGCAATTTGAATAGGATCTATCAATTGAAAATATTTTCCAATCATTTGCTGAACAACGACATCGAAAACGGAGTGTCTCAATATTTTCCAAACGATTTTTTTCTGCAAGTTTAAAGACGAGCGGTAAATGAACAATACCAACAAAGACAAACACAGATGATGATGATGAATCAGTAGATGAGAATAATGAACTTTCTTTAACATATTTCGTTATACCATCGATTGTGACTGTTATGTATTCAGCTTTCTTTGGTGAAATTTGCATTTTACATTTCAAATGACATTTGATACCTGGTGTAAAATTAAATTTTAATGGATTTAACTCACTTTTTATCCTTTCGATATCATCTGGATGAATAATATTGTAAAGTTTTTCATTGATAAATTGATCCGGCGTCATATTTAATACACGTCTAACTGATTCGCTAACATAAAGAATATTATCAAACTGATTATTCATTTCTTTTAATTGAACAAAAATAAATGAATTATTGGCTTCAATTGATAAATATTTCGCTTCTTTTGCAGTTAAATTTGAATCTCTTATCGGATTATCAATATTTCGCATGTTTAGATCATTTATTTTCTCACCAGCAATTTGTAATAAATCTAAATGATGATATCTGGCTCCAGAATTTGTCGGTTCGCATAATATTGAATGTAATTCGAGAAAACGAGATTTTTCTAATTGACGACGTTGTGCTTCAACCTATAGTCGAAAATATAAAAGTTGAACTAGTTAACATTTTGAACTTATGAAGAATGAACTTATGTTTCATCAAAGAAAAGAATTGGAGACCTAGAAGAATTGAAGAACTTACTTTTGTATGTAGTTTTCGTTTATGTATAATTACTGCTTCTTGTTCATCAATGTTTCCATCATCCTCATCTGTTGTTGTAGTTGTTGTCAATGATTGTTTGAGAATGGAATCAATTGAACTTCGTTGTGATTGTGTTGAGAATGAATCAGTGCTCATTACACTACTATCACTTAGACTTAACCGTGACGGTGATTCACCATCTGAATCAAATATTTTTCGTTTTTGACTAGCAATCAATAAAGATGGTGGAACTGTTGTTTTAAAATCATGAACATTGAAAACGGACGGATCAGTTTGTGGTTGATAATTGAATGATGAAGGAACAGGATGATGCAATGGTGTCGAAATGACAGTCGTCGGTTTGATGTCCGTTTGGTAGAATACTAAATTATTCATGTTGTATAGCGATCTGAAATAGTTGAAATAGTTTAATATTTTAGGGAGCACAAATGTTTTACAATATTCGTCAAAAGTAGGATTATGTCATGAATGTCAATTTTTTATGGTTATTAACATTGGCTTCTTATCATAATTATTGCTTTTACTAAACGGCACGGTCAGATAACCCTGCTACCGGAGTGAAATTCCGTGACGAAACTTTGACATTTTACTTTGTTTATATTTTTTTAACGAAAGCACGTACAGTGCTGTGGAACATGTGGAATAGTAAAGCAAACGTTTCTCGACAAAATGAGATGTCTCGGACAGTGGCGGATTCAAAATTATTTTTTGGTACGTGCGGTATACGATAAAAGTGCGAGATACGTGCGATCGGTATAGAAACAAATTATTATAAGAGAGATCTACTGGGAAAAACAGTTTTCTTTTAAAAGGTACGAGCCCGCTTGTACCGCTCGCGGGCTGGATCCGCCACTGGTCTCGGAGCTCTATATGTTTCTTTGTTTAAACAATAAACGGTAAATACTAAATACTATAGCAGAGTTATCTGGCCGTATCGTAAACTAAAAAAGAAGTATTTTTTTTTTAAAAACAGGCGTTTATCTTCCTTCAAAACGTTTTTGATAGAATGTTTAACTTCATTAGTACCTAATTCTCTTAACATATAACGTGCAACTCTTCTAACGTTACTGAACTCTACATTGTCAAAGTAATAAATGTCTATGTATCTTCATAACAGAAAACGTCAAAAAAACAGAATCATCTTCATTCTAGCGAGTAAATGGTTCCAAACAGTTTAATACTCACAGGCAATGAATGATGATTTTAAACAATACGCTGTTTGATAGGGCTTTTTCTACCCACTAACACTGACTCATTTCTTCTTACTGAGGTGTAAAGTTATAAAATGACATTAATAAAGTAACAGAGTGAAACATATTTGTACTATGTTAACGGTAGCCACTAACACATTTTTATTACTTTACACTTGAGCAACAACTGATGAGTCAGACGCAGCGATTATAGCTGCATTAAATACTCATCACCCAAGCACTCAGGACATCGAGACTAAGGCTTATTTAGACATTAATTTGATCGTTTTTAGGCATGTGAACTGGAAACGTATTCATGCCTAAAAGCGACAGTTTCATCACAAACAAAAAATGAACATTTTATGATGGCCCTTTTGAGCCTATTATTACAGTATTATGGGCCTTTTGTCCACTAATTAATAATCAGAAAGAATAAATCATAAATTTTTCAATATTTTTTGTTCTTTAGACCTGGTACTTTCGCTACTAGAGATGTAAGCCGATGAAAAAGACAGCTGCGGCTGGCTAAAACTCAGATTTCGGCGGCTGGCGGCGTATTCCTCGAAAATTTTCGCCGCCTTCGGCTGACTGATCCTTCAAAACCAGAAATAATACCAAAATTATAAAAATACTGTTTTATTTCATTATATTCAGTGCGATCACCGCTAACCATTATCTAATTTCCTATAAAAAAACAAAACAAGCGACACTGAAGCAAAAACACGTAGAACTAACGCGGGAACCTCGCGAGGTGATATTTCGCTTTTTGATCGAAATCTAGTGGATTATAGGTTATCGACCATGCTGATTCCGAATATGACCATGGTGGTTGCCCATAGCGATTTAAAGATCCGATCTTCTGGAAAACCAGTTTTTCAAAAACTATAGAAAATAAGCCAAACCTTTCTTAACAATACAGGATTATAGCCCGCAAATTTGTGATTAAAATGAGGCATCCCCCAGCTTTACACGACCTTTTTTTTGTTAAGTAAAACGATAATACAAATAATAATAGAAATTTTTTTAATTTATTCATCATTTACACAGACGTGTTTTTGTTTGAATGATATACCAAAGAAAATGATATATTTTTACTTTGGTTTTGTTTCTAAAAAAACACACTAATCAGATAATTAGTGATCATTTTAACTGGCCCAACACGTACCTGCCGATTCTTTTGCACGTATTATGATAGCTGGTGCACTGTGAAAGATAAATTTCTAAGCCTCATATTTTGCTAGATGTGATGCAAGCCGGTGACAAAATTTTTTTTTGTTCTGAAACGAGTTATTATGTCTGATCTCCATGTAATCATTTGCAATAGCTATTTAGCAATTTTTATGCTTGTTCATATCTTTTGTTTTTTTTGAAAAATAACGTGAGTTTTATTTTGAATGGTTATGTTTCAATAACAAGAATAACGACTAGTAAAAAACTGTTAGCAGTACTCCTTCCCATAGAAACAAAAGAGGGAAAAAAGGAACGGTTGGCTGCCAGCTGGATCGATCGAGCCTTTCGGCATCATCGGCGGCGGCGCCTCAAAATTTCGCAGCCGATCGGCTTATTCTCTAATTCCTACTCCTACCAGTCCCAGAACAAAAGACTATTACCTCGAGACAAGTTTCGATGCCTTATATAGTCAAAGAACGGAGAAGAGAAAATATTATAGGTTTTGACAAGAGAACCAGCATTATATTTGTATTAGTCATAATATCGAAACAAACGGGTGTATGATTTGTTGGTACATAGTTAAAAACTGACATTTAATTGCCAACGTAAAATGCTAATTTTTTCGCCAGTTAAAGGTCAATTTTTTCATTGTACAGTGAACGGGCTATGTATGAGTTATTAAATGTTAGTTTTCGTGGACCTGTATTACAGGTCACTCAAATTTTAAAAATTTGAGTCTGTTTTACTATTAGATAGATTGCGCAATATAAGCATCTCATTTCTTGTCAGTGAAATGCTAATAACTTCTCAGACAAAAGAAACGTACACTCTATGTTCTTATGACTTTCTTCTATCTACAGAATGAATTTAAAGTATTGACTCCTAACTGATGACTGAAATACGGTGATGTTAAGATTGACAGCACTTTTGAGGTTTGACGTTGTTAAACAAAACCCAGAACTGAACAATCTTCTTTTGACTGAGAAATATCACCCATGTAAAAAAACAAATAGATCTTATGCACAAAGTTTCGCATGATTTTTTCAAAAATAGTCACGCCTAGTTGAAAATTATGCATAATTCTCAGGATCCTATGCATGAGAGAGTCCTATGCGTGGTTGTGTGTAGGATTCGTTATGCGTGCTACGCATACTGATGTATAGAGTTCTTTTTATCAATAGAGAAACCATCCTATGCATAGCCCGCCCTACACTATTTTTTTTGAATTTCTAGTAGGATTCTTATAAGACTCTTATCGAGTTCGGATATACGGTTCGCCCATAATTGTAGTCATTATTCCGTACGAGACTTATAAAAATTTGATAATTATTGGGAAGCGTTCGGTGACTCTAACTCTTGTACTTGCGAACATATTAGTTTATCTCTCGTGGTTCAAGTTTATACTGTCAATGTGGAAAAAAGCTATCTTTGGTTGTTCAGAAATGCTGGCCTACGATGTTCGACTTTGAAGTGAAAGCAGTCAATAGTCCACATTTATGTAAGAGAGATATTGTTATTGGAACAGCACATCAGAAATTGATTGATAAAAAAACTAGCAACGAGAGTTAACACAAGAGAAGGTACAGATACAATCGCAGATTAGGAAAAATAGGTAAGGCTTGGATATGTGAATTGTAAAAATCGTATACCATATTTATACGACTAGTATAAGAACCTCATAAGAATTTTTTCAAGATAATTATAGATTACTTATGAAGTTCTTATAAAATAATTACCAAATTTTTATAAGTCTCATATGAAATAATTATCACAGTAATGGACGAACCGTATATATGAATTTGATAAGACTCTTATAAGGATCTTACTCGACTCGGATATATTCATTTAAGGTTTTTATACGCCCCTTATCAGTTAAGTATATAAAATTCGATGTCTACACTAGACAAAATCCTATGCACTTTTTATCTATTTCCTACTAGGATCCTATAGGAGCTAAGCATTTAGGATCCTATTATGATGAGTTTAGGATCCTAAGTTCCTGGTAGGATCTTCAACGTTAGGTTCCTGCCACGAATCTGAAGCGGATCCTAATATTTAAGATCCTGTCAGGGCTTGTTTTTCTTAAGAAAGAAGGATAGTTAATCTCAGGTTGAAGTAATACACTGTAAAAATTTATATAAGTAGAAGTAACTAAAATCCTCAGTGACTACAATCGGAATCAAACTGGTGACTAATCTAGACATTTTACTTTTTCGAGTGTAAGATATATACCAGTCCCTTTGAAATGCGTTTAAGAGTTACAAAGAAAAACCTGGTACTTTTTGGTTCAACTAAGACTGTTCATACATCGCGAGAGCGTATTTTTACATTATGATTCAGTCATCGTATTTTCTTCCTAGGATTCGAACAGAAGCCTAACAGAACCCTATCAAATCCCATGTCTTCCTGATTTCTTTAGGATTTTGTAGGATTTTCCTAGGATACTACTAAAACGCAAGCTAAATCCTATCAGGAAATGTATAGGTTTTTGACTGACGGATGGTCCAGAAATATGGAGTCTCTCAGTATTTTAGAAACTTAATTTTCCTTCTAAAAGATGCGCTATTTGATTCTCTAGAAAACACATATTCAATATTTTTTTATATACTTCAAAAATAAAAAAATTCTGGAGGAAATACTGCGAAGTTTCAGTCTCTATTACTTTCCAACCAAAAAAAAGCCGCTGTTTTCAATGTTACTCCCTGTTATCTTACGATATGAAAGATGAGACGACACTTATTTTCTAGCGAAACTAGTCAAAAACTCTATCAACTGGTGAAATTTAAAACTTTTCATAAATACAAGCGGTTGAGAAAGAATTCTTTTTGTTTTATTCAATTTTTCCAGAATTTATCATTTTCAAACTGCAATTTTAGAGCATTTTACTTAGGAAGTTTTTTATAGCTACTAAAACCAAACATTTCGAGGTCGGGTTTGTTTTATTTTAAAGCAAAATAATTCTTCTATTACTTTTGAACAAAAAAAGTCCAATAGTGTCAGTTTTTTTCCTCTTCT